TTCTTATACTCAGTGATTACCACATTTATAATTAATAATCAAATTTCCTCAGACGATTTTCAGAACAAAAATTTGTTTTCACTTTGGAAAAAATGAAGATGGGCCCTAAATTTTAATTTTTAAGCGGTCAGCAAGATCCAAAGCCTACGAAAGGAATCCTCGAACTCTAAAAAAGGTTTAAAGAATCATTTTGTTAAGAAATGTACGGAATCGTCTCCACCGTTTATAAGCAGGGCTTCACTTACTGCCTAAGTTGGCAAGACCCAAGCCGGAGTCCCTAGATTTTGCGAGACACTAAATCAATATACTGTTCGTCATAATCCTATTTTCTGCTCAACTAGGTCAAACTACCCTCTTCCCCTGAGCCTCGAGCAATATATAGAGGTGAGACAGACTTATTGCTATGCAGTAAACGTCACTTCCGCAAACGGAATTTGAAGGCCGATGCTATTCGCACCACTGGTGCGATTAGCCGCTTAAGCTATTCGCACCAACATCAACCACGTATGCGCTTTGAGTTGTTAGATCCGTCAATTAAACTCCCCGAAAGGAACGGATTCTACGTACGTTTGGTGGTCGCGTGTGCTTAATGCATGATATAATTAAAGAAAATAAGAGTAGACAATCCAATTTAAATTACATTGAAGAGATCAACTCAGAGCTCGGAACACAGTTCGTGCTAGCGTCGCGTACCTTTGTCCGACGAGAAGTCTGAGTGAGTAAAGATGTCGCTTTGCTGCTCCGATTAAGGACTGGATTTTACACGTGGCGCCATCTCATGAATAGAAGTTGAAGTATCTGTCGGAACGCCACATACGCAAACTGTTGCAGTGATTTTTTTTTTCTTTTAAAGGCGGGTTTCTACCTTGGCGTAGTTTATCAATTTTTAAGCGTTGGCGACTTTCAAAAGTTTAGAAAGGAAAATGGGTTCCTTTTCTTATAAAAAGAAGGAACACATTTCCTTTTATTAATGTATGTATAAAAAAGGGTAGATTTTTATGTTCGCAATGTTTATCCTTTTCATGAACGGTTTGAATAGTTTAAATGTCTGATTTGGGAGGGGGACAAAATCTTGTTTACATTTTTTGTACTTCTTAGAATACATTTAGCTTTAAAGATGTGTTTTGCATAATCAAGACTTTAATTCATTTCTCTTTGAAAAATTTCGTCCGATAAAAGATGCTAAAAATTAGACAGAGGATTTCTGAGTAGAAAATTTAGACATGAAATAAGTTAAAAGCGATTATATCAACTATTAAATGAATTATTCTGTATGCCTGCTTATTTTTTTTATGGAAATACTTGGCATTTTCAGGACACAAAAAGTGCTTCAAAGAACTTTGAAATATTTGTACAAACATATTAATCAATTAAATTGAAATAAATAACGGGATGTAATTTAAAAGACAGAAATAATTTAATGTAAGAGATTTAGATTTAAAAATTGGCACACACAAATGATTTATCAGATTTCATAAGGTTTTATTTCATAAAAAACTTTGATTTTGAAATATGGCATTAGAACCTACTATAAACCTTTGTGGATACTGAAAAGGTGATGAATATATAAGAATATTATCATTTTCAGTAAGTTTTCTTATTGAATAATAAATTCTGACAGTCCTATGCTATAAAAATAGGGTCTAAGTTTGCATAAAAATTCCTCTGTTAAATAAAAGAATTTAGGTAATTTCTGTAGCCTTTTTGTCAATACACTAAAGATTTTTTAACTAATTACTCGTCCTTGCTTGCAATTAGAACCATCATTAAATCCCTATTTTATCTAATAATTTCCTGAACATTATCATGTATATAGATTGACCTCGTCTTTGTAACTGATAATTATTACTTGCAAATTATTCTTTTGCTGGTGAACTATTAACAACATTCGCTCTCACTACCGCCTGTCTTAAGGCCCGTCCACACGAGGACGCTCCCGACGTAGTTGACGTAACTTTTTTGACGCCGGCGTAAATTCGCAGGACGCAGAAGACGTAAAACTGAGTACGCTCCTGTTCAGCTTTTTCGCCCGCGACGCGCGCGTATAGCCAATAGCCGACCTAGTTTCTTATCACGTGTCATAATCGAAAACCTTCTGCTTACCGTTTCAATATGGCGTCAGAGCCACTCAGAGATGGAGTTTTGCTTAGAAATATAACTGTATACAGCAATAAAATAATCAGCATTGTTCACGCCATCTTCAGATTTCTCAAACCGTACATATTGGTATACATTTAAAATTCTCATTAAAGGGAAAAACTGTATATTTATAAAGCAATGTTCCGACCAGTATATCCATATGCTTCACCTATTTATAACACCGTAATTAATAAGAACCTAAATAAATTACAGTTTCTACGAAATCAAAGTTTCTGCCTTGCAAAATTCTCCTTACTTATTATAAATATTGGCTATATCATGTGTAATAAAAGCTCTATAAATATCCCAATATTAAATATACCAAAAACTAACTTCAGCAATATAACAACTTCTAAAATAAAGCAGTTGACTGTGAAAGAGTATTCAATAAAATACTATTACGAAATTTTGGAGGAAAGTTACAACTTGTGTCATACAGCAATTATTTATTGAAGTTTAATTAAATTACCTTTGCAGCGACTTCTACATGTTACATTATTTTTCACAAGCACTGCTATGACAGATAGCCGAGTGGTCAGCGCGCTGCTATGGTGGCGGAGGAATGGAAAGGTGGCGAGTTTAATCCTCACCCGTAAACGGTATATAATTCAGTTAGCTTTTCTCATTTTGAAACGTGTTTCTTATATTTAATCGTGAATCATTATATTCTTATTTTACCTATTATTATTGTTTTCATTTCTTATTTTATTTATTATTATTATTATTGTTTTTAATTTAGTTTAAAAATGTGCAGTGCAAATAGAAATCCTTATGTAGTAATATATCTGCATCTCTTTATCATATATCATCTATAAATTCTCTCTTATTTTTACTTTATTGCATATTTTATCATGCACAAAATTTTCATAAACTGTCCAAAGTTTGAACCTCATTCTAAATTAAAAATAAATAAAAAAGAAAAACAAAAGACCAAGGGAGAGCGAGTTAAAAAAATATGAAGTTGGTTTATTATATGGTGGATGGTGTATGTAAAGAGAATTAAGTAATTTAATTTCTCTTTATATACTGTTTCCAAACCAATTTTATAAATCTAATTTTCATACGATATAGAATCTGCAAGTTTGTCAAACTGGTCGATACTCATGCCTGAAGGAATTAAAAACAAGTAGTAATATACCCCCCCCCAAAAAAAAAGTTAAGTCAATTCCTACTTAGGTCCACAAAGAAAAGTTTAAAATACAAAAATAAATAAATAAATAAAAATACAAACAGAATTTTTTTAATTAAAAATTAAAAAAAAATTAATATTGAAAAAGCTGTATTAACATCAAGTGTCCATCAGTACAAGTTTAAAAATTGTATTTGAACTTGAGTGGATGAATAAAAAGCATTTTATGTACTGAAAATTTGAACAAGATGTAGGGAGAGTGTGAGCTAATAGTAGGAATTTAATAATTCGGATATTCCTTTCGCAAAACAAGGCAGTAAAAAAAAAAAAAAAAAAAAAAAAAAATCTCTTTGAACAGGTCGCTCTAAATAAATCTTTCGGACTCATTCTTGCCATTTTTTGCGGTTTTGCCTCTGCTTAATAATTGTACATAATAGTAAAGTTTCAGATATAAAAAAAAATCATCTGATTCGGACAACTTGCCGCAAACATACAGAAGAAACAGCGAAAGTAAAGTAATAACATACGGCTCTGTTGACGCTATATTACAGCGTCATGTGATTTTTTGCGCAAAAATAATTCTATGGTTAAACGCACTCTTCGCAAGCGTACTCGTTTGGACGCTTTTACGCTGGTAACGTAAAAGCGCATTCGTCAGCTACGTTTCGAGCGTACTCGTGTGGACGGGCCTTTACGGAAATCGGCGTAAAATGCTGGTACCTGGGCTGATTTTGCGCATGCGCGAAAGTAGGTGGTGTGAATAGCCTATTCGCACGGTCGGTGCGATTAGCCACTGCGGAATTTGAAGGGGTTTGCGGAATTTGAAGGGGTCTACTAGTCGTGTAGAGAGTAAGTAGAGTCGGTGTTGGTTTGACTCGCTCTCCTTACGCTGTCGATTGGAAAGAGAGTCCCGGCTAGTTTCCGGATATCGATCTTGACTGGTGTCCAGACTAGACTCCATGGTCATCGACAAAAAAAAAAAAAAAAAATAAGAGTTGGTGACCCTGAAGAAACGCTTTGCCTTCTTCTGTCTTAATCGGACCATATGTAAGGGGAAAAATATTTTAATTTAGATTCCCTGATTTAGTTTTAAACCTGAAAGTAAATCAAAGAGGCAATTGTGAAAGAACTTAAACAAATTTTGCATCATATTGTTTATGTTAACGAAATAATGTTTCATAAAAGAAAATTTGTTTTCTTGTTTAGGAAAAGAAGATTCGAAATTAGCAGAAATCTTGATAAAATTACCACACATTCCTCACAAAGTGAAAAGAAACAGCAGAGCTGTCCGAAGAATGTAACGAGTGAAGCACTTGCCGTCTAGTTAGCCTTGACTTGCCTATGGTTAAAAAATGCGGTGGGCAATTTGAAGAATAATAATATAATTATTAATAGGAAAATGTTAAAGAGGGCAGTTTTAAAAATTATGTTATAAATTAAAAATCCGTCAGAACAGGTATGAAGTCAAGTATATTTTAAATACTTCTTTTTAATTTTTTTTTATTTTGTTTACGCTTTACTTTGTGCTTTTGCGACAAGACAGCCTAATAAAACAGTTTATTTACTTTGATTATTCTTTTATGAGTTTATTATTTGATTATTCCTTTCCGACAGATTACAACTTTTTCAAATTTGCATTAGCTGAATTATAATTTTATCTCGCTGAACTAAATAATATATTTTAGGAACTAGTTCTGAAAAACCGGTACCAGCCGGCCGAATCCACCTCTACCCATGAGTTTCTGAAAAACTTGCTTCCGTAAAGAACGAGTATGTTTGAACCTCCATATGTAAAATGCAGTACACCGGTCTGGCAACATTTGTGCTCTCAGTTTTCGGAGATATGTTAAATTAAACGGTTTCAATATTCGCATTGTAAAGCGTTTCAGTAAACACATTTTGCGAGACATATATTGTAACATATCTTATATTTCTCTTTAACACCATCATGACTGCACTGAGTCTGTACGTAAACACTTTTCGTATAGCGCTTGGAGTTAACCCAGATGATGTGAATTCTTGGTATCACATTTACGGATCACTGTCGTGTCTTCGTGAATCTCTGTTATGCTGTGTCTGTGGAAAACTAATGGTAATTCCTATGCGATCAAGCATGGCTCATTGCCAGCACAATGTCTGCAAATATTGCATAGGTGGTCAAATGAGGCTGCATCCACAGTGTGTTTGGTGTTTAGATTACAGGAAGTTTGAAGATAATGTACAGTTGAGAATTATTTTGCAGTGTTATAAAAAGATGTGCAGATACATATTGTCCAGAGGATTTTTCCGTACGTGGAATCACAGTGAAATGTCATCACCCAAGTTAAGTTTTATATCAATGGTTAGTGAAGGTGCTAAATTAGAGGATGACTATCACTATACAAGCATGGACTCTGACAGGATTTATGACAGCCAGTTAACTTTATTATCCGGTTTTGATCTTGGAAATATTGACGCTGTAAACGGGAAAAGAACTGTATATAGTATAAAACTGACTGACAGTGATTCTTCTAAGTTTATGATAAAGAAAACTACTTTTAAGGGGAATATTCAGGCAACTTATGTTGATTCCGATGAAAGTTCTGATACTTCAGGACAGGAGAGTGTAACTTTCATAGAAGAATGTCTGATGTCTCTGAAGAAAAGAAAAAGTTGTCGTTGTGGCTTAGCAACTCGAAATCCTGGAAAGTTGACATGTTGCGGTCAGAGATGTCCTTGTTACGTTGGAGGAAGAGCTTGTTTTAATTGTCGTTGCAGAGGCTGTAAGAATCCACAGAAACTACATGTATCTGCACCTTCTTTTCATACGATACATAACATTTGTCAGACTTCATTTGCAGAACCATATTTTTCTGATGGGAGTAAAATCTCTGGAGAAAGTACTGATAGTGATTATGAAAAAGGTAATTCTTGTGAACGTTATTCATGCTATAAATAACGTTTGAATTGTTACTTATTTTGCATGAATGACGTAAATTATCTTAAGTAGTTTTAAAATTTTAAACATATGCAGATTTTGATTATATACATAACTGCTCCTGGCTGAATAATAATTTATGAAAGAAGAAACTTTCTCTCCATCTGAAATATAAACACCCATGTAAACTCGTCCTCGAGTTCTCTTATTAATTAATAGTCTGATAGTTAATAAGAGTATTTAAGAAGCTGTAAAAGTTATGCATGTTTTTTCACATATTTTTATTATTTTTTAAACAGATTTCTGTAATGAATTAGATAATGTATCAAATGTCTCTGAGCAGCAGATCTGAATGAAAGAGGAGATAATGAATTTAATTAATGCTAATAATATGCAGCAGAGCTTTGTTAAATTTGGTTAATGCTTGTTTACACTTAGTAGAGACAATGTAACACAGTTATGGAGTTACCTCATTTGTGTGTTACCAAAAAACAGTTCATAATTTCTCATATACTTGTAATTGTATTAGATAAATTTAGGTTTTATATTACAATAGCATTTCTTGTTTTTATTGTGATTAATTAATACAAATTTGTATGAAGTTTCTGTGAATATTGGCTTCAGATTTTAATGGAAAATCAGTCTGATCTTTTGTGCGGTGGTTAGGAAAAGGTTATTATTGTAGATCAGTGGTCTTCAAACTTTGTCAGCTTATGGAACTTGTAGATTATAAGGTTTTTTTGGGGAATACCATCCCTCCTTTAGAAAAATATATCATAAAATAATATTTGACATAAATCAATATTTTATAGGTATTTTATGTAAAGACAGAGAAAAAGTACTGTATGTTTTATTAAAATATTTGGAAACATAGAATCAATGTAATTTACTCATTAATTAAATTAATTTACTCATTAACTCAAGCCCCAGGTGTCACTTACCCTTGCATTATATTTAGTGGCCCTGATGTACTTGAGTTTCAAAGATAACTATAAAAGTATGTTTATATTTTTTAGTTAATAAGCACCTATCAGCTAGTGTGAGTGCTTCATAATTTTATTTTCGGAGTTTTTATTTTGACTCGAAGAACACCTGGATTTCCTGGAATACAGTTTGAAGACCACTGCTATAGATTTCCTGTTCCTCAGTGGTCACCATTAAGTAATTTACTATTAATGGATGGTTAAAACTCTTTTGGCTACTTATTTCTTAGGCATATAAACTACTTTTTCCAGCCTCCTTGTTTAAAAGACTCCTTACATTTTTTAAGCAATAGGCAGGCTAGAAGATAATTAAATGAACTATAAAATTAGGCATCACCAATAGTACTGTTAGATCAAAGGCGTAGCTAGGGTTTTCAGCGCCCGGGGACAACTGAAGATTTTGCGCCCCTTTCTCTGTGCCAAGAACGGAAAAATTTCATAACATCAATTTGGCGCCCCCTGAATGCTGCGCCCGGGGACAGATGTCCCCCTTTGCCCCACCCAAGCTACGCCAATGTGTTAGATTTATCCCTTCTTGTATTGCAATCTTTCCTACAGGATATGTATTACAAGTAAAAACAAAAGACATGGACTTTTATATTAAATAATACAAATTTGTGCATGAATGCTAATGTAAAATGATTTTGTACAGTAATTAACTGCTGGCTGAAATCTAAGTTCATGTTAGATTTAGAATTATTTTTTTTATTTATTTCTTGCAAGTACAGTCAAAAGTCGTTAATTCGGACACCCATAATCGGACCTCAAAGCTAAAATCTTTCTGCACATTGACGCGTGCGCGCAAGACCTTTATGACTGCGCATATGCGTCTGCGCAAGCGTAGAACACGTTTTCGCGTGCGCGTTTAATGTATAACGGACGGTATAAGCTAAAATTATCTAATTATATATTTCAGTTAATGTTGATGATTGCATTGTTCCTTAATCTTCGAATTGGATCCGGCTTATTATTTTTTGCAGACTGTTAGAGCAATTTTATAAAAGTAAGCTTGAACTTTCGATTATGTCAAATAGAATTTCCGATGCTGGAGCTCCCAAAGGATCTACAAAGAAAGTATGTTTCGATGTCCATCAAACAAAAGTGGAATTGCTGCAAAAAATGGATAAAGGCATATCCTTTGTTTATCTAACCGTTCCGAAATCTGTTTATCAATTTCACGCTGCTCTGCGCGGGGGGGGAGACGTCGTGGCGCGCAATGAACTGGAAGTTGATCTGTCAGCACTATCCTTATCTTCAGGGCAGATGTTTTTATTTTATTTGGCTTATAATTCCTTACTAAATGTAGTATTTCATCTCGATGTACTCCGTCTTTGATATGATTTAAATCAAATTCCTCGTCATTATAAATATCACGAATACACATCAAATAGTTTTCTGGTTGCAATTTTCTAATTTCGGCTATGCGTAATGTATGCTTTACGCATGCGTGTTGAAAGAATGTTTAATAAAGTAAAACAAATAAATATTAAGCTTTTTTTTTTGTAAATTTTGATACCCTTTAGATCATAACTGCTCATTATTTTATAAATTACGGTTTCATATTTTTAATTTTATAATTTTTGCATGCCATCTTACCAGATTTAAACTGATCTATAATACGGAAAAATCAATAATCCGGAATCGCCGAAGTCCCAATGAGTCTGGATTAAAGACTTTTGACTGTAGTCAGCATCTGCTTATGCTACTAATGCAATAATGTGCAGAATAACCTTTAATGATGAAAGTTCTATAGTGTCTTCAGAGTTCTTTTCATGGAAGCACTTCCGCAGAGAACCCGGTAAATGTAAACATCGCCAACTTTGGCGATAATAGTTCAAACCTGGTAACCCAGCGGATTTATCCTATTCCCTTGTTCAAAGTTTGCAACCATTCCTCTTGCGTTCACTTTGTTGAATTATCACTGTCGTTGTTCGCATTTGCAGACTTATATTATTATTCTCTTATTTATTATTATTTTTTCTGAATTTTTTAACAACGAATAGATAGAAATATTTTTGTATAATTAAGTAATGCTTTTATTTTTATTATTGATTATTGTCATCTAAAATTATGAGAATAAATCAATTTTTATGGCGTAAAATTTAACAAGATAATTATTGTTAATGCTTTCTAACAATAACCTTTCAAAGGATGGCAGGTGTGACATAAATAGATAATTAAATTGAAATAAAAGATATGATTGATTATCTAAGATGACAGAATAGTTTGATGTATCACCATGGTCATCAAAATTAGCAAACCACTGCTGGTGTAAGGAATGTATTGTTTTCTGTGTTAACTGGAATTTAAGACAATTTTTTTTCGTTTATCACGTTTAACCGGGTAATTTCAGTACATTAATACTAATTTATATTTTTTATTTTCATTATAAATGCTTATACATTGTGTTATGCATAATATATCGTTTTCTGTGCTAACTTGAATTTAATACAAATTTATTTTCGTATATCATGTTTAACCAGTTAGTTTTACATCTACATGCTTATTATCTGTGAATTTTTACTACCATATGCTTAATATATTGTTTTGTCTGCTAACTTGAATTCACATGCACTAAAAATCACGTTCACAAAATATCACATTTACGGCTCGGCTCATCGTCGATGAACTGAGAGCTTGGCGAGTAAAAATGCAACGGCCCCAATGGGTTCCTTCCCGAAGCGCCAATGGGTTCTCTGCGGATGAAAACCCCTTTTCATAATTACAGTGTTAGTTTTTTTATGTAAGATAATTAAATTTCTTTAATAACAAATTATTCTTATTTGTGGATACTTAACCTAGTAACTGATTATTGAAAAATGTATTTTAAAAGAAAGCTCTGTAACTAGAAACTGTTGAAAGAAATGGTTGTGAACAAAATGTTGAAAGTAAGAATTCCATGTGATAATGCAGTTTATATCGATTAGGTACTGTTAAATTTTTAAGAATAGACGTATGAATATATTTTTTTAATCATAGTAATTCTATGCTTAAAATTCAACTACACATCCCTGTTCTGGCATGCTGTGAACATTAATTCATATTAAAGTCATGATGGTAATCCAAAAGAGATTAAAGCAATTTAAATGTAGCAAATAATACTAAGTATATCTTACACTTCGAACGTTTTAGATTTGTAGTGATTATGTGGTGCGAGAGACTTCAGTGGTTTCGGTTGAGTAGTTACTTGCTCATGTCACCATCTTTTAGCACCATTGAGAAGTGTAGCAGTGCATGAGTTTTGCATGCCCTTGAATAGTAAGACCTTGGGATTTGATCTTGGGTCTAAATGTTCAAATCACTTCGGGGTCACCAAGGTAACGATCACATGATAGGAGAGACTTCTGGGGGGGGAGGAGTAATTACTTGCTCGTGTTGCCATTTATTAGCACCAATAAAAAGTGCAGCAGGGCACGAGTTTCAAATGCCCTTGATGATGGTAAAGATCTTGGGATTAGGTCCTGGGTCTGTTTAATGCGAGTTGAATTCTCTGTCACTAGTGCAAAAGTGCTCACATGCGCTAGGTTCAAGAATTCTAACTCTTTCAAATTTGTGAGCGTTGAGTTGCTCACAAGATTACAGATTTAATATTTGGGGTTAGATCTTTTATATCAAAATTTTTATTTATTACTGAAACATGATTTACAATTTTAATAAACTGTATCTACTTACAGCAAGATTTTGGGTGGAAGTGCAGAACCGCCCACTTATTTGGCGCTTTTTACAAGAGTAAGATGAATTGGATTTTTGTCAATTTCCTTTGACTTTTTAAGTAACGATACATCAATGTGTACGTGGGAAGTCAATGGATTGTGCAATTCTCTGATTTTTTTTAGTTTTTTTAAGTGAAAATAGGTTGATGTGTACATGGATACCGAGTTTGTGCAATTCTTAAAAATGCGCCAAGCAATGGGTGATTTTCCATTTTCCTTAGATTTTGTATAAGCAAGGCTAATTTATATGTGGATATTGTTACAATTAAGGATGTATACATATATTATATGTACTAATGTAATAAGTGTCTTTTGGGTTTTTATTCACTTATGCATCTTTTCTATTTGTGGAGTAATTTGTAATGCTCATATATCTATCTACATTTGAATATTAACTACTTGATGTGATAAAATTTTTCAGTTTTTCTCGGTAAGTAATCAAAGAAATATTAGAATTGTTTAATATGCTGTCTTACAAAGAAAGCTAAGAACATATAATTTGCATTGTATATATAGAAATCGGAGAAGATGTTAAATAAAATAATAACTTTAATTTCTAATATCCCCTTCAGTCTTCAATTTAGTTTGGTTATTTTCCTTTCTATCCCCAAAATAGTAATGTACTTATAATTGGGGCTCGGAACTAAAATTCCAATAAAAATGCCCTTACCGGGAGGGGGGAATGCCTTTAAGTAAAATTCCTGTAAAAGTAAACAATAATAATAATATAAAAGGCACAATTGACAATGGATTAAAACCCAAACAATTACACATACCTATTATTTTATTTTTCCTCCGAATTTTCAACTTTACCAATTGTATTACAATTACTCTGAATTATTGTGTCTTGATATTTTCGAAAGTGAAACATCTTTTGTTGTCAGTGTGTAAGTTTTAGTATTGTAAGAAGCTTCTCTTGACATCTACTTCAAATATTGGAGCATACATGAAAAAAACTGCAGTACGTATCATTAACTTTTCTTCACAACAGAGTTTGGAAGCCATAGTTTTTAGTTGAAATAGTGCTGAATATAGCAAATGTAGTGTTTGAAACTCTGCCTTTGGCCTTGTTTAAAACATTGCCTAATTTATCTGTGTGCATTAAATTCTTTTAAAAAACAGCTAATTTATTGCACCGGCAAGTTCCATATTTCACTCTTGTAAGGATTTAATAGCTGGAATTGGATCTGATGTATGCAAGATTTCTTTCTATGTTGTCTGTTGAGAAAACATTCTGTACAGTTTGCATCAAAGCAGTTCACAGTCTGAAAATTTTTACTGTAGTATATATATTGTAACATTGAACTATATTTCCCAACTTGTCATAACTTCAGTGGCTAAGGTAGATTAGGAAATTATGATTGAAAACACTGTATATGATATGGTGCTTTTAAGAAAATTTTGTTTATGTTAGATACAGGTTTGTTAATGATGGGGTAATTTGCTCAGATTTCTTCCATGAGACATATGAGCAAGACAAGTCATATGAACTAGCTTGGAATAAAATCCCTTTATTGATTTTCCTGCTTTTAACTTTATATGGTGCAGCATCACTTAAAAAAGCAACATGGCATTGTGTTCAATGCAATTTAGCCATAAAATGTTTAGTGATTTTTCAAACAACTGATAAATTGCAGAGTGTTCAACTTTTACGACTTCATCGACATTAAGTAGACATATCTTACCAGCTAAATCTGAATCCAGAGTACCTATTATCTATCACATTGCACACATGATGACCATCAGCATAATTCATTTTTTATCAATTGAAATATATTTTTTCCTTTTTTACGGTATCTGTAATTTTCTCCTTTGTTTCCAAAAATAATCATGAATATAATTTTTTCACAGCATAAATTTGTCAGTTATCATTTAGCCTGTATATTTTTCTAAAAATTGTCAAAATCCTGCTTTATTCAGTTTCTTTAGAGGGATGTCTATGGACACGAAAGCCTCATGTATTTCTTTATAAAATGATTTCTTTGATAATACTGCTAAATAACTCGCACCAGGAAAAGTTGAATTGCCTGGCTGGTTTTTCTTTGCTAGTTCAGCTGCTCATTTATGCTTATCTCACTTCATATGCTGTATGATGGTA